TTCTCATTTTCAGTGCATGGACAGGCCAGGCATCATGTGAAGGCTCAGAACCTCCAGACTTCCCCTACCAAGCTGCAGCGCCTGCACTATCACTGATTCATGATTGGCTGAAGGTGCTGGGGTTTAGGTAGTGAGCTTTTAAACATTCATTACATTTAAACCAACTAGATTTCAGCACCCTTGATTTGAAGATGAAATATTGTATTGTTAATCCTGACTGTACACCACACCTTAAGTCCACCATTCCTTCCTTTATTGCACTAGCTAATATTTGATGATACCAGAACCACACCTATTTTGTTTAACAGTCCTTATCACTGTCCTGTATTTTTCTGATGTTGTTTTTGCACCTCATATCCACATGTATTGATTCTGTACATGTTTATACTGAAACCAGTAGATGCTAAAAACAAGTTTATTTGACCCTGGTTTGAATTAACACTTGCACAATGTCCCTTTTAAGTACTGGGGCTTTAAAGTGGTGCCAGAGGGTGGTTTATAATGAAAGATGCTGTAAAGCACAGGGTTATGGGGCACATTTGGAGAGAGCAGGCCTCCTTTGAACGCCCCATGCAGCTTCCATGTCCCTGGGCAGAAGGAACATGTGTACTTGGGTTAGCATTAGCATTAGTAACCTGGAACTTTTAACTAAACTGGGCATAAATTGTGTTTTTGATGTTCTAAGCTTATATGAGGTGCCAGGTACATGGTTTCTACGTCAGTAGGCTCTTAACAACACTTAACAACTGTTTTTATGCATTGCATAACTTTTCTAGTTGGGGGGGGTCCATCAGTTGCATCAGCATTGTCTTTATGGAGATGTTATTGCTTTGTCTGGACAGTTTCACAGTATGGTAATAAACTCTTACACATATAATTAATGATGCAGTGTTCGATACTAATGCTATCATCCACTTAGCAACTCAATTAGTCCAGGAAGATTTTGGAACTCCGGAGCCAGTCCTCTGTATTTTTGGCACAAACCCATCCCTTTGCCAATTGTTGCAATGGGCAGAGAGGGAGAATTTTGCATCTATGATGTCTTTGATTAAACCTCTATATCTAGAGATGCTTTTATTCCTCAAAAATATCTTGAAAAATATGAGAGCTGTGTCGTCTCGCCAAAGTTCTTATTTGTAACTTGGAAAGATAAGACTACGCACCTACTTGGCCCCATGGAGACAGACAAGTTAAAGTTCATACTGTAGAACATTTGAGGCAAAGTGATCATCTCTGCCTGTAGACAAGAAGGTGGCAGACCCTCTAAATGAAAAGTTACATAGTGCACCTTTAATGTTAATTTCAAATAGTGTATTCTGCCAAGCTTGCTTTGCTGTGTATATGAGTTTTAAACTAAGGTGAACTGTTGCTTTATTCTGTTATTAGACTAGGATGAACAGTTTTTAAACCATGTACCCACTGGTTAGTGAGCCCACAGTAATCTCACCAAAAGTCCAATTTAGTTTGATACCAATACAGTATCAGTACCTCAATTGAGTAGACCTATCTGGGTATTGATACTTTTGTCAACCCTCAAGTCCATATCACTAAATTTACAAATCAAATGTCACCATAACATACCATGACATAACATTGTCCCACAGACAGATACTAAAGCGAATTGACTACTTGCCTGATAGGCTTATGGGTAGGTAAAATGTGTTCTTGTTTACATATCTACTTGGTTCAATAACTTCATTGTTTTATGAGTGTGAAAAATGTTATTTGTATTGTGTAAGAGTCTAGTCACACCTATTCCCAGTTTTGACCAGAAAATACCAAAAGATCTTGTTTTGCATGTTCTCTCTTTGTTATGCAATACTGCCTGCTGGGTAATAGCAATGTGAGAATATCGGCCTCTAGTGGTGACTCTGGCTCATTACACCACACTGGATGTTTTGATTTAGCGCTCTATTGTCTTCAGCATGTGCCTGGATTACATAACTGAGCCTTTAAATGGCTTTTTTTTTTTACTTTTCTCACTTACATAATTGATAGAAATTATTTAAAATCACAAATATAATGAAGCATAATTGATGTTTTGTTGTCAAATCATGCAGTTTTTATGTCTTAAATTGAGAAAAGGAACAGTCAGATGTATGTTAATATGGAAATTTGGTGTAATGGTATGATGTTGGCCTAAATTAGCTTGAATATTTGAAGTTTAGTGATTTCTCATCAAAATGTGTAGTTTTAGATTATATCTCAAATTTTGCAGTTATATGGACTGTACCCGATTTTTTCCCCCCATATATTTGAGCGAAATTTATCTTTGCCTCGGTAGAAATATATTGCTGCTATGTGCTGTCTGCATTTAATTATAATGTTTAGTGTACGATAATCGAGAAACACACTTTAGCCTGCTAGTTGTTGGTAGCTTTACCATTTGAAACTACTTCTAGTTCTTCTTAAGCAATACAAAATGTCTACCTTGTTTATGCATTGTGTAACTGATTTAGTGTTCAACAAATTCATGGAAAATCAATAGACTGAACATGAATGTGGGAGGGGTTTTGGAGACACAGGAGGTGGGGCTCGGGTGGAGGAGTGTGAGAGGGAGGAGGAGGGAGAGAGAGTGATGGAGCGCTATAAAAGAGAACACTTTGAGCGACCACATGCTTACGACAGGACTAGTGCAGAAGAACAGTATAACCGTTTGCAAGACACAAAAAAGGAGATCCAAGCTCCTACAAAGCTTTGCCAGGGAAACTTTGACAATAAAAACAACAAAGATGGCTACCATGTTCAGATACCCGGTGTTTCCTCATCTCCAGGGTGAGTCCAGGATAACACAAAATTTTCAAAAACAACATGCTTTTATTGTAATTTTTGTGTTTGTGAAAAGCAACTATTTTTTAAAGGTTTGGTTATTGTGTCACTGATTATGCATGCAATTTTACACAGTATTTAAGTTCAATATTTTTATAATTTTAACAATGTGCATATTCTAAGTGTTAGCATAGTCTCGATACAGATTCTGATACCATGATGATAATTAAAAACACTCTGTCTTAGACAACAGAATGTGATTTTCAACATTAAATAATAGCACTTTCTAATATATTATCATGTGGTTTTATATCCAAGTAATCCCTCAGTCATCCAGGTAGATTCCATAGTAGTCTATGGACGTATACAAAATGTTCTAAAAGGGGCTATTTTTAAGATTGTGGGGTTGCATTGTAGATTCATTTATAAAATTATTTAAGTTAAAGATTGCATACTGTATTACATATATTATGTAATGAGTGCAAATGTATTATAATTTGTGAATTTTATGATTAATATATACATTTCTATGTTCATATTCCATGTAATTGTGTATATTAGTGGTAATAGTTGTAAAAGTTTTTGCTCATTTAAAAACCGTTTATTTTTATATCTAGATCAATAAGCTCCACACTAATCTATATGTGTTATGTAAAAGTATTATAACAAAAAGACCTAAAATGTAAACACTGAACTTGAACTGTATTTTCTAACGTCAGTAATATTTATATCTGCATATTAATTATTGTTTTACTGTTTTGAAACTTTGCCAAATTGTTCAAAAAAACAAAACAAAAACATAATGTATTTGTTTTGTATAATAAAATGTAATGAAAAAATTTAATAAATAAATGTAGTTGTCATAGTTTAGTACTTAAATTTATACTAGTGCATTTCTCAAATAAAGAATAAAAATCTGTTTTTCTAACCTTGTCCACTGACCTGAACATGCACGCATATAGAACAATGTAAATAATATATGATAATGGGCTATAGAATGACCCAGTTTCAACTTTGAACAGATTTTTTTGGTAATATTTAGTATATTTAGTTTTTGAGTAAAATATTTGTGTAGTTTTGTGTCTGATTTAGCTGATTCACAGAAGGATGGCATGTTCCTCATCAGAACGGGACAATTATGTAATTCCTCCACATCGCCATAGAGACCATTCACAACCAACTCAGGCTGCACACTTTTTGTTTTCTGAGAAACATTGCACAAAAGAAACAGACTTTTCCAATTTGGCCTTTCTAAATACATGCTTGGAGTTTGTTTGATTCACACATGTTTTGAGTTTTGCCTTTTGGTGAGGTCATTGTCATAGAAACATGCATAAACTGTTTTAGCTGCGTAAACAACTGAAACTAGAAGGTTCTGCTGTGTGTTGCTCTTTGAGGGAGGACTATAATGTGGACTGCTAAACCAATACAAGCCTTTCACAACACGTTTGTAGAAGTCCAAACTACAGTGTTGCCATTTTTCTCACATAATGAAATAGGTATATAGCTGTTTTTTGTTGCATTATTTGAGGCAACCTTTATGATTTGCTAATTGTGAGTTTGAATTCCGTTTTTATTCAACTGTGGTAAATTTAGTTCCTTTGCTGTGTTGGTAATTAGTCATGCTGCTTTTTTCATCCATTATAAAGATGTACTATGTAACATCTCTGAAACAGGGTCCGCCACCTGCTTTGTTTCCATGGAGATGCTGTTGCTTGGACTGGAAAGTTATTGCCTGGCAAATCCAGACTGATATCTCTGTATTTTTACACAGACGGATATCAGTCTGGTCCCCACTCCCTCTGTTGCATCTCGAGCCAGAGCCAAACATGATCATCCCATCAGATTTGTTTATATCAGTGATGCGTGTGAAAAGAAGGAGCTCATTTGTCACCTGTCACTTTGTGATACTTTTTCCTTTTTTTCTTCGTAAGCAGGCATATTAGTTTTGATACTGAGAATGTATACAGCTTTAATTTACTACTTAATTTATTATCTCCATCTAAAGACAGAGTAATGCTATGCTGTAGAACAAGCAAATAAAAAAAAAACATCTTTATGGAGACAAGCAGATGACAACCTCTCCAGCAGAAAAGTGATATTGTGCACCTTTAATGTATAAACATGAAATACCATAGTTGTCTAAAAGTACTGAAAATATGTACTTTTTTTTAATGATACTTTCCTCTGCACATCCTTATTGACATTGTGCTGTCTTCCTTTCCCTGTAGACCCGTGCGCCCCCGGCCTCTCCCTGTCCCCGCCCCCTCGCAGTGTCATGGCGGAGCCGGACTACCTGGAGGACCCCTGTGATGAGCTCATCAAGCCCAAGAAGCTCCTTAACCCAGTCAAGAGCTCCAGGAACCACCAGGACCTGCACCGCGAGCTGCTCATGAACCAGAAGAGGTACCAACACACATACAATACATGACTCACAATAAGGCTAATTTATCTTTTACTGCACCATCTACTAACTAGTTAAATTAAGGGGTTTGTTGACTTTATTTCATCTAATTTTCAAAACAAAACTTTGACAGAGCATTTTGTGGTTTGTTTGGAAAAAGGAAAACCTGTTATTATTAAAGTATTTCTAAAAAATATAGTGGTTTTACAAAGTGGTACTGTAAAATATTTTTTTACAGTATGCCTTTCAGGAACTGGCACATCACCTAAATGATTTCATGGAAATAGAAAGTGAAAGCCATACTTTGGAACGTTCTCCATGATGATGAATAGATAGATTAATTTTATGTCATGAGATTATAACCAAAGGAAGAACATTTCCAAGCAGGAGGCAGCCGAATCTTCAGGCCAAATAAAAGTCAGGTTTGTGGAGAAGCAAGTCCACTGCAATAAAAACTGCTTTCTAGTTTTTATTGTCTTCCTTAATTACAATCTAGTCAATACTGATAAGAAACAGTATCAGTCACATGAAAGTGGTGATATATGTGCCAACCATATAAGGTAGAAATGAGCATTTAGGTCAGTGTGTCATTCGCATGTTAATATTATACACATTTATTTGGCAATGTAAAAAGTATATTACATAATGATATTTTGTCATAACTGTCCTCAATACAAGAATCACATTTCAGAACATGTTTTGTACAGATCTAAATCACAGGGTTAGCCATTTTTATGTAATAATCAATATAGAATGAATTTACCATAAATCATCTAACATCTAACGAGTATTTTGTTTTTAAGATATTGGCTAAAGTACAACAATAATGACCAAGACCAGTGTAAGACATTCAGAGACCAGACAATGGAAAGTTTATGTGTGGCGGCTTAACCAAAGAGCTACACCCAGCACAATATTCACTCTCAGCTCCATTTTATCAAAAGCTATAAATACCATCCATAGTAATCTGGCACTCGAACCAGTCAATCATTGATTCTCTGCTGTTTACATTAGTAGCAGATGGAACTAAGGGGCATGTTTTAATCTTAACATCTTTTACATGCTATTTCAATTACAGTTTAAATAAATTACCAGCCTAGGGTGTACTGATATATAATTAGAACTCTTACATAAATTTTGCTATCAAAATCTTATTTGAAGCTAAAATTTATGGTGTTTACAATGAATATTTTTAAAAGAGGATAAAATAAAGATGTGACCAAAAAATTATTATTATACATTTTCACTCACCTTTCTTCCATGTCAATCTATAGACCTATTGTTTAATAGTATAGACCAGTTATCTCTGTCACATTCTTAACAATGTCTTTCACACCCTTGAACTGCTTTTCTCTCTGATAAGGAGGACGTTATGAAACCAACTGTGCTTATAGATTTCATTGAAAGGTTAATATTTGAAAACTACTGTATATAGGTATATAAAAGTGTGTGCCATTTGTGCTGCAGGGTGAGATAATGCCATACCCTCTTGACTGTGTCTGAGTGCATCCTCTGGAGTCTGTAGCGTCCAAAACACATTTATATAAATGTGATGACATCACACTTTTAGAGGACTATTACATAAAATCAGCTTTGGTTTGTGGGTCGCATATGAATTATGTAAACATGCCATGGTCAACAGGGCGATAGGGAGTTAGGCTACTTCAAGTAATAATAATACTCAAATAGAAATAAAAAGTCTTCCAAATTATTGGTTTTATTTAAAGCATATCTGTTATGCAAAATAAACTTTTTAGAACTTTTTACCACTTTGTAGTTTCCATCTCATTTACCCTCTTTAAGTTGTAATTTTTAATTGCTTATTTTCAAGACACCATATTGCCGTACTAACGTTATACTAACTTTTATGTGATTTTAGATGAATATTGTAATTTAAAATGTGCAAATTATTACATAATGATCCATGGGTGTCATGGATAAAGCAGACACAAGCACAATAAACACAATTTTCTTTAATAAACTGTTGATGAAAATTAGGAATGCACTGATTGGCAATGATCCAGTAAGATTAGCTGGAATGGTTTTTTCCTCCCAAATATCAGTTAAGTCAATATCCTCAAAGGACATAAAAATTAAACTTTTGCTGTTGTAGTTAACCTAGAAAGTCTTGTGATGGTTGAACTTTTTTATTTAACTGTTTTGAAGTTACTTGAGGGATACATAACAGCTACATGATATTAGTTATTTGCACATCCATATTATTGGATGTAGCTAGTAGTCAATGGCCTGTATAAGTTGTTAAAATAGTATTCCCCAAATGGAATATTCAATATGTATGAAATGACTTAAAAATTTACTACAAAAAAACACTTAAAACTTTACTTGCAAGTGTATGTTATGGGCATTGTCTATCATCTCTTTGTAGCTTTTGTATTTTTTGTATTTTGGATGATATACTTGGTCTAAAAGATAATATCGGAATGGTTTTAGGATGACCAGGTTCAGAATGATGAAAAGTTAGGACCGTTGCCATAGCATTTAACAATCAAAACAAAATCTATCTTTTGAATGCTCAACTACCCTTAAAATGGCATTAGGCAACAGGAGTTGAAACCCATGGATGGCTAATTGGCACCAAACTCTAATGTTAATGCTATCCTCTTATTGCTGCATCATATCTATAGCTAAGCCTAGCGTGCATCGTTTTGGCACTATACTGTGTTTGTTTTCCCCAGATCGGACGCTTTGTGCTGGGTTAAAAATAGCTCCGCAGAACACAGCCTGTTGACTCTTACATCACAGAGGCATATGGGGCTGGGTGTGCCACCTTAAAAAGAGGTCAATGTTGATGCCACCTTAAAAAGAGTGCCATGCAGATGTCGGGTTATATATGTGCTGGGTTAATCCGTCCTTCACTGTTTGGCCTGTTTTCCAAGTGAAATTCAGTTCAACATTTCTAAATATTATGTAGCAGTAATCTGTCTAGTGCAGCCTCTGTAGCTCAGTGAGTGAATTCTGCAGGTTTTGAGGTTTTACATTGAACAGAATGAGAAAAACTTCTATGTACCCTCTATCTGCAGTTTAAGGCACTGACCCAGGTTCAGTTGTGATGACAGTAACTTTTTAAAAAGGTAGCAGACTGTGATTGACTGATGGTGACAAACTAGGTAGGGTTTACTATTCAAAAACACTAGGTTCTCAGTACAGCAGGAGTTTGTAGTACCCTCTCATAAACATTATATAACTTCCATGACATCAAGCTCTTCCAGAGATTAAGGTCTTACATTCAGGCAGTATGCATTAGTGGGATGAATATGGCTTGCATAAAACCTACACCAATTCATCCTATATACATTGATTTGCAATTTTGGTTTTCTACATTTCCAAAACTAAGTCAAATTAGTTCTATGTTCACATTAATATCTTTGAAACTACTGAAATGAACAACCCGAAAGGCACGATCATCAAGCCAATATAACTTGTAGATCAGCATTTTATTTAACAAATTTTTCTGACAGTCTTTTCAAAACCAGTCTGTACATATAGTTCCTAACAGAAGTCGCTGTCGTGATTTCATGTGCCTGTCCACTGTGAGAAAAAGTGAAAGTGTTCAGCGTCACAGATTAGTCACGATGCAAGCGGAGGAGGAGGAAATGGAGGGATGGATTGAAAAGAGGTGGAGAGGTACAGAGAAAGAGGGAGAAAAGGATGGAGAGAGAAAGGGAGAGTGAAATAAGAGGGACTAGTGATTGGGGGGAGACAGGGATGAAGAGAGATGAAGAGAGCAGGAAAGAAGGAGATGGTAAGAGAAGAATGGATGGAGAGGAGGAGGGAGGAAGAAAGATCAAAACAGAGGGAGAAGGACATAGAGAAATGGAGAGAAGGATGGGGAGAGGGAGCAAGTGAAATAAGAGGGGGATAGAGAGTGGGGTGGGGACTAGGTACGAGAGGGATAGAAAGAGGAAGCAGGGGAGGAGGAGATCGGTGAAAAGAGAAGGGAAGGGTAGAAAGGGATGGAGAGAGGTAGAGAAGAGGGAGAAGAAGTGAGTTAGTAAGAAAAGAAAGAGGGTTAGGGAGATAGAGAGATGGAGAAAGAAATGGAGGGGGAATGCAAGTAAGATGAAAGCAGGATGAAAAGAGTGGAAGAGGAAAGAGAGAGAGGGTTGGAGAGAAAGATGAAGTAAGAAAGAGAGTGGAGAAAAAAGGGATGAAGAGAGTGACGTGGAGAGGGGCATGGAGGAATGCGGTGGAGAGATGGAGGGATGCTGAGAGAGAGCGACTGTAGGAGGGATGGAGAGATGGATGAAGAGAGAGAGGATGCTTGCTGTTAGCTCTGCCTGTTACATAATGCTGGTTACAAAACACACTGTGGCTGTGGGCTGCTGCTGCTGCTGCTTCACCTTTTGTCAACACAGACAGAGGAATTTGAGACATTCAGACAGAGGGGAGGACAGCACAGACTGAGAAGGGGACTGGGGACTGGAGACAAAGGGGAGGGGGGTTGGAGAGGCTAAAGGAGTGTGGACACCGAGGGGGTAAAGGGCACTGTGGGGTCGGGCATTGAGATGTCAGTTGGGCATTTTGGGTTGGGACTGGGGTGAGATGTGTAATGTTTGGCATTTATGAAACAACACACATCTTGTAGAATATTGGTGTTTGATAATGAATTATATATTCTATGCTACATAAGGACCACAAATTGTTTGTAATTTATTATTATTTTCTTAATAATACAGATGTGAGCAGAGTAATCATGAATTGTGTGCATTGTAGGGTTGTCAAAAGTATCGAAAATCGGATATTAATCAATATTAAAAGTAGTTTCGAAACCAGATACTAATTCGAGCAGGTATCAATACTAAAAAAGTCACATTTACAGGACAGAAATTAACCTTTCCTGGATAGCTTTAGAATGATGCACCTGGATGACTGAGGGGTTACACAGGTAGAAGGCCATGTGGTAATATTAAAGTATAGTAAAGTAAATGATTCAATGTTGACTTTTTTTGTTGTTGTTTTTTAATATCATCGTGGCATCTGAATTAGTATTGAGCATCGAGTCTATTTCTTAAGTAACTAAGGTGCTTATATTGCTTAAAAAACATACATTCGTGTAAGCGACTCGCCAAACCACAGATCTGACCTGTAACTTGGCCTGGTTGTGTCACCTTCTTGTCTACATGGAGATGGAAAAGTGCAGTGCTATACTGTGGGATATTCGAGGCAAAGCAATAACATCTCCATGGAGACAAGCAGGTAAGTAACCCATCAAAATTAGTTACATGTGCATTCAAAACTGTATACATGGTACTGCTTTACTACAAATGTTTGGTTTTTTTTGTTTGCTTGTTTGTTTTCCACAACTTCTCCATACATTCCGAACAGCCTTGCCCTACAGTAACTCCCACACATGTTACCTTTGACCTTGTGTTTTGCCTTCATAACTCCACCACTCCCTCCCACTCACTCCTCTGCTCCCACCCACCTCTAGAACAACCGGCCCCTGGTTACATAAGACCTGAGATTCAATAATACGTTTAATTAAGAGTATGAGCCAAGAGCTGAGTGAGCGTGTTCTCATAGTCTGTCTGCACAAAGGGCCCTAACTGTGGCTATGTTTACATGTAATAACAGGATTTTGTTCACATTTAAACACGTGTAAATGTAAACTAACAAACTAATACAAGAATCTCATTTCAGAACATGTTTGTACAGATCTAAACTATAGGGTTAGCAGTTTTTTATGCAGAATAAGACAGGGTATTGCACTGTTTGTGGAGGAAATTATGGTACTTTAAAAATTGCAGCTTTTGTGATTTGTCATTCAAATTGCGATTGATCTTGCAGCTTTAGTTATCTGATTATTGAAGTGATGTGATTTGGACTGTCCTTGTAAACATACCACAGAGTCTGGGAGTGGAGTAGAGGACAGAGGAGGTGAGAGCTCGGACAGAGGCAGAAGGCACACTTATGTTATGTAAGCCATATGGAAACAATAGACCATTAGGATGTTGTATAACAGGGAAGAATTTTGTTAGTTAAAATTTGTTGGCATCTTACAAGTGACTGAGTGATTCTAATAGAATACTGATTAATGTTGCATCACAGCATCAGTTTATTTACACATTAAATATGGGTACTAACTGACAAACTGCTTGAAGAGAACTTTTTACTTGTACTTGAGTAATTTCTTCAAGTGCTTTTTCTTCTACATTTCTTCTAAAACTCTTGGTTGCTTAAAGCTTGACAGTGTATTAATGTGGTAAAACTATATTTCACACTGTTAGGTCATGTTTATGGAACTTTATTTTATTGTTGTGGTTATGCCAGGCTTTTGTGTGTTTGACATTCAATAATTGGGAAAACTCACACTTATTGACGTATTTCCGTATGTATTTCGGCATTAAACTATAGCAATGAACCAGGTTTTCATAATAAGGCTGATGATGATACAAGTCACATCATTGAGTCCACATTAAGACAAGATGAGATTCAGACTTTTTTTTTTTTTTTTTATCTATTTAATGTAATTTCTATATCATAACTGAACATTTGTTCTGTGGCTAATTATTATTATAAACAATGCAGGTGTCTAATATAACCTATAGAATATATCAAGAAAAAAACATAATTCACCTGAAGTATAAGATAGGTCATGGGACAGTAAAAATATACCACTTTACCATGTACTGTTGCTCTAAAATGCAGCCAGCGAAAAAGCCATAAAAGCTCCTCTCTTTAGAATATGAATTTTTCAGTAACTGATATCGTACTTCTACTTACGTTCCAGTGTGCCATATTCAGACTGGAGAAAGGCAACTATTGTTAGAATGGGGACAGAGTTGGAAACAAAATGGTGCCAATGAAAATCCAAATTACCACAAATTGAAAATTGATGAATGAGGTAGTGAATACATTGAGTTGGTGCATCCGCAAGACCTGATTTTGTTGTTGTTTGATCAGTTGCCCGATTTAATTCAGCTCTTGGCACAGCTGAGTTTACATCTTGTATGTTTTGCCAATTTGACAGACTACATTACATAACATTTTCTCAAGGGAGAAGGAAGACGTTATACTCTTATTCAATTGTGTACCAGTGCAATTATGTACACTTAATCAAGACATAACAAAAATGATAACAATTCAATGCTGAAATCCAGTTGGTTTACACCTAAAATGCCTCTGTCTGATCTAAATAGACACTACTTAAACCCAGGACCTCCAGACAATCATGGATCAGTGCTAGTGCAGCCTCTGCAGCCCAGAGAGGAAATTCTGGAGGGTCTGAGTTTTCACATGAGCCATGGACTGTTCATATATTGAGAATGAGGAAAAAAAAACATTTAAATGTCCTCTAATGTGTTTGTTGTTATCTCTTGCAGAGGCCTGGCTCCTCAGAACAAGCCTGAGCTGCAGAAGGTGCTGGAGAAGAGGAAGAGAGAGCAGGTTCTCAAGGCTCAGAGGGAGGAGCAAGAAGCCCACAAGAAGAGGAGTGACCTGGAGATTGAGCTGCTCAAACGCCAGCAGAAACTCGAGCAGGTCAATAATGCACACACCTCACAATGGAGAGCTGTTAGGCCAGAGTCTGTAGGACTAGGCACTTTGAAAGGCAGGGAGGGAGGGGCAACATGCTATTTTTACTGAAGAGGAGTTTTCTGGCTCCTGGCTCTTATCCCAACAGTGTAAGATATATATAGCTTTTTGCGGCTGACACAATGATTCCCAGCTTTCAATTCAACTGAGGGGTCAGTATCTCAATCTGTCCCCAGGGGTTTCTGAAAAGATGTCCAAATTGACTGTTTTATAGGGTTGTAACTGTATTGTATACTGTATTATTAACCATAAAAATACATCATTTAAAATACAGGGTTGTAGTTGAGCCACAATGTTTTTTGTCTAAGTTATGCTCAAGTAAAAGTCACTTAGGTCTTGTCCGAGTGAACTTGTGTCCGAGTCCAAGTGCAGCAATTTAAAACAAATGTTAATAATGTAACTGGTTCTATGAATCCCAGATGACTGCCAGAGGGAAGTACTGAGAGCAGTGAATGACTCCCCATGTATGTACGAATCTCACTTTCTGTTCCACGAAATATTAATAATTTCAATGTTCGTCTTTGCAGCTTGAACTGGAGCAGCAGAAAAACGAGGAAGAGCAAGAGAACACACCTGAATTTGTCAAGATGAAGAGCAACCTTCGCCGGACCAGACAGGAGGAGGGGGGAGAGGAGCGGACCACCTAAACCCACACTCAGAGCTAGAGAAGAGGGGAGAGGACCACCTAAACCTACACCCAGAGCTGGAGGAGGGGGGAGAGGAGCGGATCACCTTCACCTATAGCAAGGGCTGTCAAAAGTATTGTAAATCAAATACTAATCGATACTAAAACTAGATACTCATTTGAGCAGGTATTGATACTAAAAAAGCCCCATTCACAGAACAGAATGAACCTTTCCTGAATAGCTTTAGAATGATCTTGTGCTGAGCAGGTATAAGACCACATAGACTATTATACACCCATGGATCTCTGTGGAACCTACATGGCTGACTGAGGGATTACACATATATAAAGCCACATGGTAATATAAACAGAAGTACAACAGTTTAATGTGGAAAATTACATTCTATTGTCTAAAGAAAGAATGTTTTTAATTATCATCATGGTATCGGAATCAGTATCAAGCCTATTCCTTAGTATTGAAGTTGAGTTCAAAATTTTAGTATCGTGACAACACTGCCCAGAGTAGGGGGGAGGAATGGACCGCTTTTACCCACACGAGAGGGGAGATAGCTGGGAATTCCACAACTGTGGGCCTACCTAGCTATGTGCTCACCAAACTGTTCACCACTTTTACCGAGAGTCTTGTTAGAGAGTATTATTTTTGGACCAGGACTCTTTTTTTTTTTTTCTCCTCCTGCCTTCCCATGCCTTCACACAGCTCCAGTTGCTCCCCCTGCAGGCCGGACCTCACCCTAAATGAACTTGTTACAGAATACAAGGCAATTTTCCGAGCTTCCACGGACAGAGGAACAAAAATGTCTTTCTATGTTTTGCTGCCATTTCTCTTGATATAAGTGTTGTCGAATTTTGTTTTAGTTTTTTGTTTTTCAATCAAATGAGGAAAAGTGGACACTGGATGGACTCTCAAAGCTGTGTATTGTAAAGCCAAACCTAATGTGCGTTTCTGTTATTTATGTTTATAGTTTTTAGGACATGTTTTAGTCGTATTTTTATTTTAGTTTTACCGTATAGTTTTCAAAAAGCCAGATGAGGACAAAGGGAGTGGTGTGACCAATTTGCAAAAGATTATTAATATAATTTTTTATCAACATGCCGTTTGTTCAGCTAAAGCAATTTGAAGCAATATGAAAGTGGCATGAGAGTGACCTTTTCTTTATGTATTCTGTTGTTTTGTATAAATAAACATGTTAATTTAAGTTTTGGTCAAATTTTTTTCTTTTGAGTCAAAACAGAAGGTAAAATATATAATTTGAACCTATTCTCCAGATTAGTGTTTATATTGACTCAGTGTTTTCAATTCATATAGCTAATGTTTAAAGGGCCTGTATTATGGTATTTCCTGACCTGAGAAAACAGCATTGTAACACATCAAAAACATACAGTACCTGGAGCTGTGTTTTGCTTCATTCGCACATGTTTAACACACAAACCCTGCATATTTATGCTGAGTTCTCTCTAACAGAAAAAACTCTGCTCCACTTTGTGATGATATGGTAATACAGGAAGTGCTCCACTGTGCTTTTATACTCTATACACCTTAGAATCATTTGGATAATTTAATCCCTGGAATTGCTAAACTCTACTGAAAAAGCAGCAGTTAACTTGAAAACGATTGTTTCATGACATCACAAGGTGCAACGGAGCATTTTGAGTTTTGGAGATGTAGGCACACTAATAATGCAGGATTACTCAAGCATGTGTGAATGAAACAAAGCACAACTCTGGGTCTGTTTTTGATGAGGTAACAATGTGCTGACATGGCTTAAAATTCACAAAAGTCATATAGGACCTTTAAGTATTTGCGTAGTAGGGCTAAGCCTGGCTATAGTGCACATTCATGTCATTTTTCCTAATTTGTTCAAATTATGTCCTTATTTTTCCCAATAAATGTTCACCTTTGAGAATATCTGTGTATCTTGAATAAAAGTCAAACTGTTTTCCTATTATTCTGCCATGTTTTGGAATTAAGGTCCTGGAATTTTAAAGGAACTGTATGTAGTCTGTGCTTTGGTCCTCTGTACATTGGTTGTCAGTGCCTTACCCTGCTGATAGAGAACACAATAGTTCTCATTCTAAGTATATGGACAGGCCTCATGTGAAAGCTCTTCAGAAGAATCTTCAGAATTCCCTCTCTGAGCTGCAGAGGCTGCATTAGCACTGATTCATGTTTGGCTGCAGGTGCTGGGGTTCAGGAGAAACCCATGTGATGCTCATTCTGTTTTCTGAACTAAAACACCAAATTATAACATAAACAACTTGGCCATCACATCTATTGTTTTAGCGATTTACAGTTGTAACGCTGATGTATTATCCGTAAAACTGTATTTGATACTGTCAGGTCATGTTTATGGAATTTAAACTAAATCTTGCATACAGTTCTTTAAAGGCATTTTTATATAAGACTTTATGTAGGGTAGTAACTGTGACAACAAAATACATTTTAAAACAGTTTTAGGCTTGTAATGAAATGGATAATTTAGCCGGATTTGTGGTGGTAACAATACCTACAGTGATAACATACCAATATTAGAGTGAGTATGAAGTGAATGAATAATGCACTGTAAAGAAAGGGCTATATAATTCCAGTGCATTGTTAGTACATATTATTAATCTTATAGTTTTGACTAAATGAGATTTATTAACACAGTGTGGACTGTTCATCATCCACGAGTAACTCAGTCAATGGTTTTGAAGGTTTGAATCCATTAGAGATCCTGCCATGCTGTCCTGAAGCAAGGCACTTTGTCAGCAAAACGTCTCTGGCTCAAAAATCTGCCACACAGGATTTTACCCACGGCTTCTCTCTTAGCTCAGTTTGCAAACTGCATTTGACTGTTCATCAGAAAGTCTTAAGAGTCTCTCTGCATAACCATTCACAAAAAAGAGATCAGATTCATTTGTTGAGCTAAATTAATAGATGAATGAATATAGGACCCTGCTTAGACTGCTGCCCCCGTGACCCGGCCCCGTATAAGTAGAAGAAAATGTATGGATGGATGAATAAAGGCCATTGTTCTGACTAGTGTATTTCTAGTGAGGCTCCATACTGGATAAATATGACCAAATATGATATTGTGGAAATAAAAAGCAGGCCAAGTTACAGATCAGATCTGTGGAGAGGCTACCCCACTCAGAGTAAATTTTGAAGGCATTCTCTAGCAATAAAATGTAATGTAATGTAATTAAATGCAAATACAGGTTTTAAATATCACGCTGTAGAACATTTCAGGGCAGAGCTATAAACAACTCCATGGACACAAACAGGTAACTTCCTACACAAAAAGTGTACCCTACACAAACAGTGCACCCTTAAATAGTTGTGGGAAATGAAATGGATTTTGAGGTAAATTAATTACAATCAGCCTTGTCAATGATTGTTCCAGAAATCATATCATATCATCATATCATATCACAATCATAGACTGTATAAAAGAATATATACGGTCTGACTATGGGTGTAGGACACGATCTATTCTAGGTCTGAGCTAGGGCTAAACCTGACAGTGGACTACATAATTTCCACTGTAGTTCGAAACACGAAATTATCCAAATTAGGACAAAAAGTGGATACAATGAGCTCTAAATTAGACAAACATATTTAGGCCATTGACTTGTTCTGCAGTAACACCAGACTATGACCAGCAGAGAGCAGTAAAAGCCCGTCTTAGGGTCTCTCTCACACACAAACCAGCAGAAGACTCGTCTCCCCCTCTCGTGGGTCATCATTCCGCGACAGACATGGCCGCCGCCTGTGGGCTGCTGCTGCGCTCGCTCTGCTCCGGTGTCTCCACAGCCGTGCCAGCGCTCTCCAGACCCGCACGGAGCCTCTCACTGCGCCTGCCCACCCAGCCTTATGCCCGGAGAACTGTGACCTCCTCCAGCCCTTTATCAGCAGGTAATAGAGCCGTGTAACCTTCACGATCTCGTGCAGGTTAGCTTGTCTCTAAACTGGGCAAAAGTCAAAAGAGCAGCTAAAAGTGCCTGTTGGATGGCCCTCACGTTGCACAACTTTTCACTAGAGGTCCACTTGTTTTGCGTAATCAGCACGTTCCAACTGTTTTTCTCTCTTAATTCTTGTGTTTTTGTTTACAGCACTAAAATTCACAGACAAACATGAATGGATCCGAGTAGAAGAGGATGGTATTGGGACTGTCGGCATTAGTAACTTTGCACAAGTATGCCCCCTTGTCCATCTTCACGCAGACAGACAATAACATCTCGTTCAAATGATAAACTGAATGCTTGTCTAAATCTTTGTTCTTTTGACCTTGTTTGGGAATCATCAGGAGGCTCTAGGAGATGTAGTTTACTGTGGATTACCGGAGGTGGGCACCCAGCTGGCGCAGCAAGGTACACTTTTATGCATTTGGCATTAGCACTGTATTGTAACAACAATAATTCTATATAGAGCTTTCATTGTCGTAGTAGTCCATATGTATCTCCGCTGATATCTATAAGCCTAGCAAGTGGCCATCTGTCACCACCACTTACAATGACACATTTTGAGTTATATGAAAATGCAAAAGAAATAGAGATAATTTTTATTTCCACTAGAGCTGTTGCCCTTTAGATTAGTCCATTAATAGATCAATGGTGACTGACTAATAATTTCATCGATATTATAAGGTTTTATATGGAGAGTTAGAAAGGAGAAGTTGGTAAGCAGGGTCGTTGGACTGCGGGAGGTTAAGGGTACTGTTTGCAAGGCCCCTCAAAGTTTATAATGAGCATTTTTCATTAGACATATAGTGCAGGTGCATAAATAGCAATATAGTTTTTACATGAACTCTCATGTAGGTGTGGTCTTGTTAGTGCAGTTTGGGAAAGAGAGATACATAATAGTTTAGAACTTTAGTCAACAAAAAGGGGTATGGCTAATAAATCAGCAGCACATGTCTCCAGTCCAACAATAATTTACTTAGTCAACTACAGCCCTAATTTCTACTCAATCTGACCTCATGTGACTGTGTGCAGATGAGTTTGGTGCCCTGGAGAGTGTGAAAGCAGCCAGTGAACTGTACTCACCGCTGACTGGGGAGGTGGTGGAAGTCAACACACTGCTGGCAGACAGACCGGGCCTGGTCAACTCCTCCTGCTACAAAGATGGTACGGACAGTGTAAACCAGCCTAATTTCAGCACTCATAATTTAACACAGTCCATTATTATGCTGACTTGTATGTGTTTCATACAGTGTAGTTTAGTGTCACAGCATGGAGTTTTTGTTTCATTTATTCACATTTTTTATATTTTTGATTAAGTGGTCTTCTTCTGAATAGATGCAGTAGCTCATTTTCAACTATCTTAGTGTTTTAAGTAGTAGTTTTGAAGTAGTTTTATTCCATGTATCTTCACCAAACCCCTACTGAGTATTTTAACCTCCCTTAATGCCCTCACTATTCTGTATTTATTCACTGGCATCATGTTGACAGTGTCAATATTAGCCCTGGTGCTAATGTGGCAAAAAGCTTTATTCTCTGCTTTGACAAGCAGTGGGCACATTCTTTTCTGAAATACAATACAGACCTGTCCTCCCCCATAAAGTCAATACACATATATTGCTTGCTGTTTGAAATTTATCTAACATTTATTTAATTATGGGTGTTTTTATCATATTTATTAGTGTTTTTACAAAAAAATTATGCTCTCTTTTGATATTAAGGGATAGATTTGATACTCAATACCAATTCAGATACCTCAGTGACAATAAAAAAACTCTTTCTTTAGACAATATCAACAAAAGTCAACATTAAATCATAATACATATACTAGTCTATGTAGTCTTATACTTGTTCTGATACAGCTCAAGATCATTCTAAAGCTATTCGTGAAAAGTAAATTTCCTGTGAATGTGACTTTTTTTTTTTAGTATAATACCTGCTCACATGAGTATTTTACTATTTATTAGTATCTGATTTTTGGTACTTTTGACCACCTTATTTAATCATGTTTTGTAATATCTGGAAATACCTACAAAAACACAAGTACATCCTTGTGAGGCAGGTAATTTTTTCACAATTCTGACCTATGTGAGTGTTTTCCGTTTGAGAGAAGAACTTAACCTAAATATTCAGGGTTTGAGTTTTAAGCATGTGTGAATGAAACAAAACACAACTCTGATATGTGAATCCCGCTCTTGACATAAATATCACTGGTTAAGTGGTCAGATCCATTGACCCACAGGTTGGCAATGTGATTCCAGCTCTCACAGATGAATGCTGTCAATGTGTCTTTGGGCAAGACTCTTAATCCACGTTGTAAGTGTGTGAATGTGTGTGTGAATGGGTGAGTGGTTCCTTGATGTAAAGTGATTTTAGTGTCTAGAAGGTAGAAAAGCACTGTATAAAAATATGAATATGGGCAATGTAAATACCATTTTTGTATGTGTTATTGAAGGCTGGTTAATGAAGATGACCATAGCCAAACCCGCAGAACTGGACTCCCTGATGGACGAGGCTGCTTACGAGAGATACATCCGCTCAATCGAAGACTAACCCACTACCTCTTTAAAAACAGCCACTTTCACTTCTCCAGACATAGGGGGGCAGGAGAGCCACAAACAACAGGCTATTCTGGGCATCTGCTGTGTAAAGGGCTCCACTCTGCTGACCTGGCAGTGTTGTAGATTTGGACTCTAGCATTTCTTATCTATTGCTAAATTGGGGCTGAAGTGGTCAGACAGGCTGTAGTCAGTGAATTCACTACATTACATTCATTACACCCTCAATGAAGGCACTAGAATCTATAGACCAGCTTCCATACATTTCAAATGCTGTGGTATGTTCTAGCTCAATGTGAGATTTCTTAAAGCACTTTTGTTATGATTCTAATAATAAACTCGGTCTAAAATGTATGGTCGGTGAAACTGTGCATGGGACAGTTCGTTTGAGAATAATAAACATTTCCAGACTAGTGTGTTCTTGTTTTTTGTTTTTTTTATTAAAATAAAAGTACAAAAAATAGAGAAATATATGTCTGCCAAAACAATGTAAAACTAGATTATGGACAACATATAGTGGTTCTAGGTCCCACTTGAATATTTTCTGCATGTTGTCTTAATATTTGCATCAAATATGTTACAGGTCAAAAGGCTTAACCCAACCCATTCAAAGGTCTAGTCACTATACTCACACTAGACTATAGTGTATTTAGGGAAATACGTAAACTATACGTATTGGTGGGTAACAAAACAGTATAAAAATGAATAATGTGCTTGTAAATTAAAGGTTGAAGTTTTACGCAAATGAATGGAGAGTAAAATTAAATAAAAATGTTCTATATACCCACCAGTAAGATTCAACTGCAAATTTATACAGTACCTCTTTTTACCAGGTCTAGACAATAAACTCAATATTCAGATATAACCAGAGGTGTGTAGTACTCAGTTATATTAACTTGAGTAATTAAAAAAAATAAAGATATGCTTTTTGGAGTACCTTTCTACCATACCTTTACTCATACTTTAGTAATATTTTAAATGAAGTACCAGTAAGTTGAGTAAAAGTTTTGGCTACTGTTCCAACCGTCCACAAGTGACAAAAGCTCTATGTTGACAATATGAAATTGTTTGAACATTTGTTTTTCTTGCACCGGTCCTTCAGATATGATTTAGTTAGTCTCTGTTTTTTGAAAAGAGCAGATTTTGCACAATATTTAATTATAGTTTTGCCCTTCAAATTACGTACACTCACAAATTATTAATCAAATGTTACTTCATGACAGTTACTCTTTCTTGAATAGTACTTTTCCCAAGTTCTTCTTTAATGTGAGTATTTTCTATTTGATTAATATTATTTTGAAGTAACATTACTCTTACTTGAGTGCAATTTTTGACTCTTCTACCCACCTTTGCATCTAACTGTGCATTAGTTGTATTGCGCTTTTTCGAGATGCTCAAACCCCCTCTGATCATCACATTCACACAAGACAAGATTGTTGAAGTTTCCTGCTTGTCTGCTGTGGTACCTGATATTTCCATTGGTCTCCCATCCAAATACTAATCAAGCCCAGCTCAGCTTTGGGGATCAAACAAGATTGGACATTCTAAAAGATGTATGGTGATAATTCTGCATAACTTCAAAACATCTAAAGTAGCAGAAAATTTATTGCTTATATACCCTGACAGAAATGCATATGCTGCATCATAACAGTCCATACACTATGAAACACAAAAAAATATAAAACTGAACTGTAAGAAGGTATCATGATTACATTACAATGGAAATGTTAACAATAACACTATTAAGAATCCACTCCACCCATCACACCACTGCGACACCAGTTTTCCCCATATTTTCAGTAATAATAAATAAATGAACCATATAAAAATAAAGCATGTTGAGTTCTATCTGAGTGTATTGACCACAGCTCCAGGAACTATGGAGAACCTGTCTTTGGCTGTTGGAGTCCGCCTGGCTCGTCCTCTAGGCTCGCGAGACTGTGGTAGACCTTCCATTTTCCTATAGTTCACATCCATCCTCTCTCTCCTCTGCGATCCCTCGTTCATCACACTGGCCGTGAAATCTCGCTCATTCAGAAAAGCTATGGTCTCATCTCTCTTCCTGCTCACATACCCCTTTAAAACAGCATTGTATGGGTTGGAGACTGCGTCCGCATCCGGTTCCTCCAGTTGATGTTTGAACTCCATGCGTGTTATGAGAGGGAGGAGGAACTGTTTGCCCCTCACCACTGTCTCGCCGTGGATACCCAGAGCTTCAGAGACCAGGCGGGGGGGCAGGGGGACCAGGTCACAGCCGCTGCCCTGGTCCACATACTGTTTAAACTGTAGACGCACCTGGGCCACGTCCTTCAGAGACTGGGTCCTACGCTCCTCCAGGTCTGTGATGATACGCTCAGGGTAGGATTGTCCCAGTACTACACCTGAGGACACACAGAGGTTATGTTTAGGGTCATATTTACATGTTTAAAGGAGCACATAATCGCAAATAGTGTCTCTAATGTAACTGGAGAATAGAAAATAAATATTTGCCATGTTTACTTTTTATTAAACTGCTCTAACCTGATTCAAGTTTTCTAAGAAGCTTAAAATTACTGAGCTTCATTTCTAATTTAGACTTATCTATGACCTGGATGTCAAATTACCAACATCCATTTAAGAAAAATTTACAGATATCAAGACTTATCATCGACATACTATATTTATTATTTCAGCTATAACCCCTCCTACAAATGTTTTGTGTAAACTCTGAATAATCCTGGACTAGTCCAGAACTAACACAGGACTAGAATAGAACCAAACCAAAGTCCATGTTGGTTTCAAACCAGGATCCAATAGGGAAAAGTATGAAAGCAACCTGAGACAACTTTATTGATCCACATAAAAGTAAAGTAAAAGTAAAATTAATAGGACCAAGTATCTCACACATATAAACACATTATACAATATAAATACAATACAAGAATAGTTCTAAACACAGCACAGGTCCTTACCGGCACGTCTGAGCATGGAGGCAGGGCATTTCCAGGGTTTGTGGATGAGCTCATCAGGCAGGTCGGCCAACTCTGGACACCACTGTCTGACAAAGGCACCACAGGGGTCACAGGTCATGGCTGCGTCCACAGGGTGCATGACAAAGTTCCAGTGGTCCAGTCCACACATGCCTCCATTCTGCCACATCATGGCATCTATGGCCACGTCTGCATCCACCAGGGTGTCCTGCTCATGGGACATATAAGCCATGGTTACTGCATGATCATATATTTGTATAAATCTCGTCTTTATGGTTTATGGCTTTTGTGGTTTACCTGGAACCAGCGGTATCCTTCCTGCCAGGGCAGGTGCAGGTATGCGATGAGGAAAGACGCCACCACGTGTCTCATGTAGTTATTCATCCAGCCGCTGAGCCACAGCTGCCTCATGGCTGCATCCACCAGAGGGTACCCAGTCCGGCCACGCTGCCATGCTTTCAGGTGTGACTGGTTGGAGCTCCAGCGGAGGGCCTGCAAAATATTAATATGTCAAGAAGACACAATGAATGATTTTTATTTTATTATCTAAAGACCTAAAGACTTCCAGTTTAAAGAGTAAATGGTAAGCTAAGCACTACATGCATAATATAATCTGTCCAACCAAGTTGAAATTAAATTGTTATAGATAAAATAAGCACATTTGAAATGCTGCTGCTAACCTTATAAGGCGGTCTGAGGGACTCCCATGGCAGATCAGGGAACAGGCTGAGCTGCCAGTAGGCCAGGTCTCTCCAGGCTAGTTTACGCTGGAACTTTGGGGGGCGGCACTTTGCCTCTTTGGCGTCCCACAGGAGCCAGCGTGGGCTCAGCTGTCCAAAGTGAAGGTATGGAGACAGGCCACTGGTGTTAGGGTAGTCTGCTCTGCCTGACTCCTTCTCATACCTGTACACCCCTGTGTAAATAACAATGATGAGGGAGAAGGAGCAGAACTAAATTGTACATTTAACTTACAAATAAAGACTCACCATCTTGAAGGAAAGTGAATAACTGGGCATGTGCCCCCTCTTCACTGAAATCCCAAGACTTACGAATGTTAGCTGCCCAGTCAATCTAAGCGTAAAATATAAACATACAGTTTTATTATACAGTTTATACATTTTTACACAATTGGGATATTGTTTATGTACTCACTATGGTGCCATCCTTCCGTCGGGGCATCTTGGCTAATTCTAGCGTGTCCAAAGTTACACCTAAAGGCCAGTGAGAGGGGGTGGGCAGAGACACAGGGGGGTCCAGGGTTGCCCCAAGAGGAGGCCCTGGATTTTGTTTACAACAGCTCATGAAGTGGGACACAGAACCAATCCCTGCACAGCACAGATCAAAGTTTTGTTAAAAAAAAAAAAAAGTCAACTGACTTAAAAGTACAGTAGGTAACTTTCTGGAGGTGGCACGTCACCTGTGCGATTTCATAGAAAAAGAAAATCATACTTTGGAAAATACTCCATGGAGCTAGATATGTTTGATTCCATACTGTGGAATAGCATAGCCAAAGGAACAATTCCATTATAGATTTTTAAAATTGTATTTAATAAATGTATTTTGTTTTTTATCAGATTCATAACGTGGGTCAAAACTAAGACTATATCAAATCAAAATCAGAATGAATCAATCAAGACTGAACCATTTTGATGAATAGGCAAAAGACTGTTGAGTATAACTACAAAAAGTGAGCAGAAGTCAGAAGTCAAGTAGATACTAATACAAAACATTAGAAAGTTCATCCTGCACTTTTAATACTTTTAACTCGCGTACCTCTGAGCCCCACTCCCACTGTGCTGACAGAATAGGGGTCTCTGAGACAGTAGGAGTGATACATCTTGAGGCCCACCCCGTCTTTGTGCAAACCGGACAGCACCAGATCATCCCTCTGCTTAAGCCAGGGCTCATACAAAGCATTGGCCACCACAGTGCAGGCTCCAGTCTCCTGTAGCAGCCCCCTCAGTGTCTGAAGTGAGGAGCCACTCTCAGCCTTAAGGAACACAAGACTGCTACCGATCCGCTCCAAAGACGAACGCAGACAGGACAGAGCTTGGTGAAGCCAGAACTTACCTAAGAAAAGAGGAGCAGCAATTTGACTTTTAACTATCAAAATTACCTGGTTTATGGTCGGTAATATCTCTGTAATAACACAGGACATGAAACTGACAAAAGCTTACTGCTGGCATTATTTTAATATGCATGCACAGTCAGTTTAAATGATTATGTCATAGAACATCAACATGGATTCTATTCTCAACTCAAAAATAAGGTTAGAAATGTAAAAAGCTGAATCAGGCACTGAGTTACATAGGCCATATAGGCCAACAAATGAAGTAATTGTGGTTATAATGGTGCAGGTAAATGCAGTCTCATTCACATACATAAATAATAAATAAACAAAAGGTGCTAGAGTCTTGGTATAATTACTGTATATCCAGTTGTCATTGTGTATTTGAGCAAGACAGTTGATCTATTGTGCCTGAAATAAATGATGTGTGAGAGATTGATGGTGGTCAGAGACACCATTCAAACAGAACCAACCACAACTCAGTCAACAGTTTGTTATGAATTATGAAGAGTGAAGGAGTAATGTCTTTGAGAGGCAAATAAAGCCATGTAAATCAAATGATTTACTAGGGATGCACCAATACCGATACTAATATTGAATAGCTGTACCGATCCAGGAAAATTTGCTGGATAGAGTATTAGTCCCATGATATTGGTACAGAAGATATGCTGTTTGGGTCTTTAATTGGTTTTAGTAAGATTATAACTGGCTGATGTAAGCCCCAGCCTGCATCTCATCATGTCTGAATTTTTAATCATACAAATTCATTTTGTAGTTACTTAAGTAACCTGTTTTTTGAGTTTTTCAGATTTTCAGTCCCTACAGTGGTATCGGGTACTGCATCCTTTTTCATTTTCAGTAACAAAAAATTTAATTTTGAGTAACGTATGCATGTGTTTGCTGACTTACAAGCCCCTCCCATGGCCACAGTGGTCCCAGGGCCTTCTTCCTCATCAGGAGCCCAGATGAAGACAGGGATGACAGGTGCACCAATCTCCAATGCCCCGATCATGGCAGGGTTATCACACAGCCTCAAGTCCCTCCTGAACCACAGCAGGACTGGGGGCTGAGATGATGGAGCTGTAGGTAACCCAACTACCTGCTGCCCTGTCCCCTTACTCCTCTGCCTTCTCCTCTTAGAACGTTTAGGTTCAGAAGAGTTCTGCTTAGAAGATGGGGAAGACTGTCTGGAGCTCTGGTCACTGTTCTGTATATTTAGTACAGACTTATTTTGGACAGTGGACACATCTTCAGACATGTAGGGAAGGGAGCACTGATTGACATTCTGGGTGGTGCTCTGCTTGGTGGTAGTGGTGATTTCTTCTGTATCCAGGAGAGAGAGTGCCATTGCAAGTTGCAGCTCATCATCTTCAGTCTGTAATTGTATACAAATATGACATAAACATGGTCACTGATTGTTATTTAGTTGTCTATATACAAGAATTTCAGTTTTCAGCCAGCTTTCCTATTTACCAATAATGTGCAGTCACTGTCATTATGTCAAAGCTCATTTGATTTTAAATAGCCTATGTTCTATCCATTGCCCTTGATCAAATAAATTAATAACATTCTGTAAGACAGCTTAATGTAATTGTGTGTAGAGAAAGAAAAGACAGAAAATTGTATAATTTAAAAAAAAAAAAATCATCATGAAACAAATAGAACATGGAATAAATAAAAAAATATATATAATTTATAAATTTAAAAACATAAACATTTTGTAAATAAAACTATAAAATGAATTTCTGTTATAATGAATTCATATAAATATTTAAATAATGATGATAGTTTTTTTATGACTGAAAGAGCATTTCACAAAACGCAATTTTATTGTAGGTTAATTACATGTTTATTTAAGTAATAAAAACTGAACTCCATACAGAGAACCAGTCACATCTGTGGTCCATCTACGCTATAATCTACATCTCAGTCTATTGCCAAAAGGCGGCGCCAGAGGAGTACGTTACGCTTTAAGCAAAATGTGCAACAACAACGTGCTCGGTGATTTTTTTACTGTAACACTTACATATTATGAAGGCAGTTGTGTAATACATATACTTTTATTTATGTTTGGTTGTTTGGACAGGGCCTTTACACGCTTTTTGAGAGTTGACTTGACGCTAAACCTTGACTTGATGCTGCATTACAGGTGAGGGAAGTAGCTTTGCAAAAGTCGATTAGCCAATTACCTTTCTACAGTCAGAAACTTTCTACAAGTAAAGAGGGGCGAAATGTAACTCCTTTTTTATAGAACAAACTGGTACACTTGAATTACTGATAAAGTTAGCCCCGAACACATATTAAATGGAATTTGTTAAGTATGTTGTCATGTTTCAGAGTTTAAAAGCCAACTAGCTAGAACATGTTAGAAATATTTTTGGACAACCCCTAAAAATATGTATATAGACTATGATTATGTATTTTATATTTTTAAACTTATTTTTTCATGTTGTCAAGTCTTACAATGTTTTCAAAGTTTTAAGAAGTAATAACGCCATTACAATACATATTACTCGCATACGATCATCCATGTCTTACATTTCTGAAATATTCCTCGTAGATTGCCGTCAACGCGGAATGCAGAGCTATATTTGCCGTGGACAGAGGCCGGATGATAGTCAGGAACTGTGCCCGGGTGTCGTGGTGCCCAAGGACGGACACACACAGAGCGAAAAAACCCTCTGGATCCTCCCGACCCACCAGCACCTCCCTCAGCATCTTCCTCACCAGGGACACGCCGTCTTCACCGCTGCCAATGGACAGGGACATCTTGAACAGGTACTAAATACGTCTCTTCGCTGTGCTCCCTGTTTATCAAACTCAACAGCTGATTTGGAGAGTTACACAAGCCATGTGGCTGTGTTTTGTAACTTCGATGGTAATTTCTTATTTTAACCAATAGGGGGAGTGCCAATGTAAGAAATACATTCCCGTATCAAACATAACGCTTCATGGAATAACAATTGCGTTTGAAGTTACACGCAAACGCATACATTTACATAAAATCTTGCATTTATCCCATAGCTTTATACCTGCCTCTCTGCCAGCCTAGTGTAACACATCTCATCAGACTGGGCCAACATTTGGCATAGTTTCTCATTGCGGCCTGCTAGATCCCAAAGGACAGATTGACAAAAGCCTCATCTAAGCAGGAATGCTGTCTTTTTTCAAGTGAGAAACAAAGCAATTGCACCCAGGAGTGAATTTGTAATCATAGGCCAGCAGAAGATTGCTAAGTAATTAATTTCTTTAATAAGAGCCTACACTGGCTTTTAAGTCAACTCAGTGGGGTGCCCTGATTTGGTAGTCAAGGGGGTAAAGTCTCGAACACCCTGGCACACCTGATAAGATGGTTTTCTAATCATATCTCTTTGAAATAAATCTTTTCAAGTTATCTTTTGAGGATGAGCGCTGTCTGGTATTGATATCTAAAAAATTGACATCAGGTTTTTAGCAAGGTCATACACTTTTGAGCCTGAGTAAAAGTAGTAGAAGTAAAAAAACAAAAGCACTGAAAGCGACGGCATGTGCAGAAAGAGCGATACAGAAAATAGAGAGAAAGGGAAAAAGATTGAGGGAGAGAGAGAATCAATAGTGTTTAGACAGAGAAGTGGATTCTAAGTGGGTGATCAATAGAGAGCACAGCGAAGAGATTAGCTGCTTTTCTCTCTCAAACTAACACTGACAAATTGGTGAATTGGTGTATCGGCCCTTGGGCTAAACGGATTGACCCGCTGTTTCCATGTTCTACCGTGTACTGTCAATACAGATCTGTGTTCATTGTGGCTTTCAATGGAGAGAGTGAGTGAAAGAACCCGGAAAAGAGGAGAGAAAAGTGATACCGTGTCACCAGGAAAACGCCAAGTAAAAGGTAAGTGAAGATGGTTGGTACCATGAAGGTAAGTAAGTAAAACCCAAGTGTCCATGTTGGTGAGGATGCTTACAAAATGTCCACACCTCTGTCTCATTAACTCACATGTGCATCCTCGTGCACAATGTTATAAAACCATAATAACGTCTCAGGGAAAATTAATGAGAGGACAGATTAAAAACTAAGTGTGGAGAAACGGGCCACTGGTGTAGCTATTTGCAACTCATAAATCATCTTGACAAAGCCATGCGTCCGTGGACACATGCGCACACACACACACACACATACTGTAATTAACCACAGGCTATTTACTCTCTCCTGCTGTAAATTAGACATGCAGACACCGTTATTACATTAGGGGGATCTGCCATGTAGAATACTAACAGGGAGAGGAGGGGCTATATACACACGCGCATAACAATCCAACCCTTACAAACATCAACACAGGCGCGTGCATACACAAGAAAGGAGGCTATGGAAGAATCATAGAGTGACGGCGGTGCCAATGAAGCCGCAGCGCACAGAATAGCGGCCCCCAGCTCTTTGTTCCTTGCTGCATTTCATTATCTGGAACGCCAGCCAACACACACGACAAACATCAGGCACCTCCCCCTCCCCTAAAGCTGTCTACCCTGCTCCCCGCATAAGGTACACACAAAAAAAGAGAGGAAAGAAAAAGCAAATAAAGATACTGCGTCAGTGCTGTTGACTGGCACCTTGGCACAATTGTGAAGTCTGCATGGTCATTATACATACATGTACCTTGATACTTTGGCTTGTGTAGTTTGGTCTACTTTATAAGAGGTTGTTGGTTGTTAGGAAAACGTGTGCGTTCATTAAGTTGAAATTTAGTTGTAAGTAACGCTGGCTAGATATAAAACCCACAACATCCCATAATGTAATTGCTCTTTGTTTCGGTTATGGGGCCTTAACAGTAACATAGATTGGAGGATTTCCAGGTGATGTCTAACAATATAAATGTTTTCTCTGATTAGAAGTTATGGAACAAAAACAAAATCACAATGCATTACAAAAGTGATTTTTTTTATTATGTAGCAGCAATATGACTGTTGTCTCTTTGATAAAATGTATATGACTTACCTTAGATAGATTATTTTTAAAACTATACAAGGTAGTAGGGCTGTAAGATTAATTGCAATCAAATCAAAGTAGCAAACTCAAGTGGTCAAAAGTAGAAATAGCAAAGACTTCTATCTTTCAATTTACATAGCAAATAACAGAATATTATTCTTTGTTATATATAAATATATGTCATAACCAGCTGTTTATACCTTTATAAACATGTTCTGAAATGCATAGATTATTTTGCATTAAAACATATATAACAAATCTTATTGCAAGACTTGTCAAAATTGTTCAAAATTCGTACAGCCCTAGGTCCAAATAAAAGGTATACAAACAGTCTAAAATGAGCCAGAACAAAATCATGAGCCAAACAAACCTAAACAAAAAGAGGATGAAATGTGGTAATATAAACCAGGCTCTAGGGATCAACTAAGACTAAATTTAGATCAAATTCACATTAGTCCACAATGTTTAAAAAAGGACCAAAAAAGACTTCTTGCTTCAAATAATAATTTGAAGACTAAATTTGGGATGGGCCGTGTTGTAAAAAATTTATCATTTCATATTTTTTGAAGTATCTCTGTAACCATAATAACAGCATATTGTGGCAATCCATTGCAGAAATATGACTTAATATACTTGAAAGATTACTATGCAAGTTTGCTTCATTTGTATTTGTAAATAACTTTGTATACTGCATTTACAGATATTGTTAATGTTCATGATACATCCATATCTTCTAAATTACAGTTGCCTAAACTATATCATCACACTGTCTTTGGCACATGGTATTTTGAGCCAAACATCTGAATAGTGAATTACAAATGTCATAACATTACTTTAATATGTAGACTTATAATGTGTACAATATGCGACAGAGTACATAGACTTACAGTGCTGTATTTTCTTTGATTTTGATCCTGCCCCTAATGATCAGGAAATGCCCTAGTCCCTGTAATACATGGACCCTCAAAGACTTCCCCATAAAGGCAGAACAATGAGGAGAACTTGATTAAAAGGAGTATTGATAGACTGTCTGAGGCGGCTTGTCTCCATTTAGTTGAAGTTACTTTTTTTCCTCCCTGGCCGTAGTGTTTGTGTCCTCTGCTTCCCCCAGCCTCCCTCCAGCCTCTGTGTCCCCTCTGTTTTCCCACGCTGATCGATAGCTCATTACAATCATTGACTGCAGCTCATCAGCACCTGTTAGGGTCTGAAGAGGCGGAAAGACAGTGCACGTTCCAATCAGAGAGCGTGCCCAGTGATGCTAGCCTGTTGATAAGTACACACAGAAAATGGCGTCTGTAAAAAGGTGAGGGCTGCCATTTGAGTGGTTATCTTCTGATTCACATTCATCGCTGTGGGTGTCTAGTTTGTCGCTGCTTTATGGTTCACAGTCTCGGGGAACATCTTATTATGCGCCTCACGTGGGTACGGCAGTTTGTTGCTATGGTGATCTCCGAGGGAGCTACGGTAGTATAGGTGTTTATGCCAGACAGGAGCGAAAAATACCCCACCAGTATAAGGGACATGTTTAACACAAGGTTTGGACCACACATTAAGAGCCAAGCCATGAATGGGCACAAAGGGAAACATGGTGGAGTGAGAATGTTAACTGTTCACACTCTTGAAAGAAGCAGCCTTGTTCAAAGACACTGTTGTGGGTTTAACGCAACACTCCAGGGTTTGTTGTTTCAAGAGGCCACTCTGGGAGTTAAAGAGGAGTTTCAAGTCAAAGTAAATCTGAAGCACTAGAGTTGAGTCAGGCTGGATTTGCCATAAAAAGACATAGAATAATTAGAAAGGTTTGGAGAGGACCCCCAAAACACATTTGTTGTAGGGATGGTCCAATAAGGATTTTAATTTGAGCCAATAGGCAACTTTTGACTTGCTGTTGTAACTGATAACCGATATTTGATGATACAGAAGATTTGAAAAATTCATAGTAAGGTTCACAAACTTATTTAGGATCACTGCAAATTTCACAAAATAACTTTTTACTTTTATAATAATAACAACTAAACTAACAAAATGTGTTCATCCGTAATATGGCATTTAATGCAGACAGATTTTTACTTTAATTGCTCTTTTATTTTCATTTTTCCTCATTACTCTGTTCAAAAAGACATATCTGCACAGAAGATAAATTGTGAATAACCCATGGGCACATAGAGACTAAATTTTCAATAAGCGATAAATATAAATCTGGTAAAAATAAATTAAAAGACAAGTTTTGGATTTTATGTATCACCCATCCCTAATCTGTGACTTTATTCAAATCTTAAAATTGCAAAAACTATAAATAATATGTTTATTCCATTTTATTATTTTTATGTTGATCCAAAGCTATTTACCAAAACATATATATTAAAGGAACTGTATGTAGCTTGCGCTGTTACTGTTGTACAATCACAACTGAATGTGGGGTTCTAGTGCCTAAACCTGTATATAAAGGACACATATAGTTTTTTCTTAATACATGGACAGACCATGTCTCATGTTAAAGCTCAGAACCTGCAGAATTGGCTCCCTGAGCTGCAGAGGCTGCAATAGCACTGACTCATGATTGTCTGCAGGTGTGGGGGTTTAGGTAGCAACGTAAATGGGAGGCTCATTCTGCTTTCTTATTTGACAATCTGGTTCTGAACATCTCTGTTTTTATGTGCTTAATGTCTCTATACATTGTTCCTACAAATAAAGACTAAACCAAACGAATCGTCTTGAGAATCAAAATATCAAATTATAATGTAAATAAATGTGACATCATGTCCAATGTTGTTGCAACTAAGAATAAATCATTATCAAAAATAGATGGCTTCAACGCACTGTGGACTTGTGGACTAAACTAGTAGTTGATTTCCAGTAAATTTTCTGTTTCACATCTTGGTGGT